TCAATATTTTCAACAGGGGGCTCCTCCTCTGCAATAGGGGCTTCAGGAGTTCCCTTACATGGCACTAGCTTCCGGATGTTTACTGTCTCACGAACATTGTCGCTTCTCTGCAGCACTACCGTCCCATTAGTGTTGATCTCCACGATAGGATAAGGGCCGTGTAGTCTTTGGGACAGCTTATCTGGTTCATAGTGTTTCATGTAGGCTTGTTGCCCGACCTGATATTTGAAGGGTATTCTTCTTGCATTTTCTCTCCTGAGATTCTCATCTATCTGGTGTTGTCTCTTATTTCTGATMAGATTCAAATCAGCAATGAGGGGAATGTCCATCACCATATCTCTGTTGTAAACCAAAGCTCCTGGTGAGGTCTTCACTGCTGCRTTCACTGCACATCTGGTAGCATGCATTGCAGATGCAAGAGCATTGTCAATCAGTTGATCTTCATTAAATTCAGCTTCCTCAAGTGATGTTGAATGAAGGTTAGCTCTTAGAACATTGGCAATGGTCTGGTGCACTCGTTCGCAAACTGCATTTGCCTGYGGATTCTTGACAGTAGTTTGGACACTCTTTATTCCATACTGATTCAATAACTGCTTGAACTCTGTTCCAATGAATTCTTTGCCGTTGTCATGAACACACCGATTGGKTCTGGKGTATCGTGACAACCAACAGTTGGCAAATTGCTCTGCAACATGCTCACTTGATTTGTTGTTGATTCTGATGATTTCCAATAGGTTAGTGACTGGATCAATGCAGGTGAGTGCATTGATTACTAATTCTGTTTCATCCGGAAGAAGGATCTTCCAAGGACCAATCAAGTCCACACATACTTCATTCCAAGGGACAAACTGAGCCTCACGAGCTGGTAGTAATCCATGTCCTTGGCCTTGTTGCTTGAATCTGTGACAYTCGTCTGGACAGTGATACTGTTTGCACTTTAGGCTGAGTCGTKGAGCATAGAACCTAGCACTGATAGTTTCATAGAGTCTAGTGCTGCCACAGTGACCCAATAGTAGATGATACCATCTGAGGGTGCTGTCTACCAGTCCATCGGGCAGGTAGATCTTCCAATCATTGTTGTCCTTGATTGATACT